GACTTCTTGGATTGCTCCCGATAGAATCATAAACGACAGTTGGGAAATAACATGCGGACAGTTAGAGCCCCAGGCGGCAGCAACACTCATTTCGGCTAAAAAACTAACAAAATACAAAATATTACTCAAAGCAAAAAGAAATCACATTTTATATTATAAGACAAGAAATGTATTGACTTGAGTAGCCGCAGCAAAAACCGAGAAAGAAAAGCTGATTCAATTAAATTTTGCGCCGACACTTAAAGTATTACATTAAGTACGGAATTTCAGTCCACTGAAAAATTAAATTATGCAGCTACACAAAAAAGAGCAAAAAAACACAGAAAGAAGGCCAACCGCCGTCGCTCACAAGATGGCGGACATGAAAATTCCCTCTCCGTTCTGATTGGCTGCTAAGCAGCCTGCCACAACTACGAATTCAAATCGAGTTTAACTGCAGCCCTCGTTGGCCTCTCGCCAGTAACCGGAACTATCCACTTTTTAATTCCAAGTTGAAATGTTTCAACGTTTCCAAGTGTAAGAACTGTAGCTTCTGCTTGCTGTTAGACAATCATAACGAAACACTCGACCATATTTGTGCCAATGTTTAGCCACGGGGCGACAGGTTTAGCTGTTTTATCAAGTGCTCCACCTGGTTGCTTCAACAATAGTGTACACAAATTTATTTTTATGTAAACTTAAGATTTACGGACAAGTAACTGGATGCATGTTAAGTTGTTTCGTATGATGGTCGAAAGTAACGCTACAGTTTTTACGTGTTTCTCAGGTTTTATACCTGTATAGTATATATTTACCTAAAACTATTATTTACTCTCCTTCGAAACTTTTGGAGAGCTCGCTTTCCCACTGAATTGTCTCATGATTTGCCCTTTAATTCCTTGATTAGTATTCACAGAATAGCGTCGCCACTAACACTTAGACTATCACAATAAGAACGACTAGGAGAATTAGTGATCGTAATCTAGAGTTTGGTAACAATTCGATAATCCTCGAATCAAGCAAAAGGATCACAAGAAAGCTCAAGATCGTTATGTCCGGAAGAAAGATAAGTAAATAGTAACCCCTATGATCTATTTGTGAACTGTTATTATTTATATTTTTTTGTGTAACTGTTAAGTAACCATATTCATGTTCCTTACACTACAGGATTCTATTTGACCGACTGATTACGATTATACGATTTACTATTCTTACCTTATTCTCGATTTATTAGTCACAGTATCTCACACTTACAACCATATTTCGACCTGATTCCGTGTAATTGTTGTTCCCCATTTTATAATATGATGTGGCCTGGTTTGTTTGTATGAAAACCAAGTATGTCTGAAATGCATGAACCATATAGAGGAGGCTGATAGCGGTGTTCTGGACTGAATCGGCTGGGTTAAGCAAAAAGCTACTATCTCGGTGGACCAACAAGATTCAGAGTTGAATTTAGGCTACTCGTAATGGTTTATTCGTCAGTAGTATGGTCAATAAGTCAGTGTCCTGACTGGCGTTATGTCACGTGATATCTTCCCAGGGCATAATGACATAACACAGATGGCACCATAAAACATTCTTCAAGTAATTTGTACAATGTTTACCACTTAACCCAAACACCGATTCTGACTCTCTCACTAAGTAATCAGTAGCACACTTCTGCACATGTCCATACTTCATGTAAGACTAGCAAGCAACAAAGAAATAGTAGAAAAGGGAGCCATAAACCGACCTGATGAAGGCTAGTAGTGTAAAAAAACGGAATGAAAACTATAATTTTATCTCATGCTCGCCGCTCGTTAAAACTGGTAACTCGCCATCTGAATGTGATTCATGTAGTGGCTGCATCCATTGTCACTGTGATGCAGTAGTGTCCAGACCGTACTGAGGGGTTATGCCTTATCACCTCTCTACATGTTTCTGGTACGTTCACCAACAGTGTACAGAAATTACGCAGACGGAACTTAAAATGCAGAAACATGACCCTGTCGAAAATGACCACTATTATCCCAACTAGTACACTGAATTACTCGGACATAAGCTCAGCCAAATACGCGACTTTATGAGCCAAAACATATGCTCATATATTAACGGAAACACCTGAGTGTTGATAATACTTCAGCATCTGTTAACAGTAAGGAGAAATGGGTGAGCGTTGAGAAGAGATATAACCAAAGAATAGGTACTAAGATACTAAAATTCAGGAACAAAATAGATAGACAAAGACCCTGATTTCATTTGATGTTCCAGAAGTGGAAAGTAGCTTATTAGAAAGCAGCGCAGCCTTTGATAAAGAACAGTTGGACAAGTACCATAAAATGCTGTTAACCGGTATCACTTCAGCCTGTGTAAAGGCCATAACGTAGCAAAGAGTAAACCTGTCCACTGAGCGTAACATTGCATTCGGCATACTTCATAGAAGGAGTTTCAATGATGCTTCAAGAAGATCGGCAAACACCGGAGGACCAACTGGCATGGTAGTTTACAGAGCGTCTGAGCTAGTGGGTGGTAGTCGGGATGGAGCTCATGAACACGAAATGTAACAGTAGCGTCGGAAATCATGCAGCATAAGCTTACAGACCACTACAACAATCAACGCATTTAAGCTACCTCATTCTATACACCCCACGACCTTTAAGCCCCACCGTCTTATCTCTCTGAGTTTCAGAAACGTAGCTGAAGCCCTTCAGAATTGGTAAATCTCGAAAAACCATCTCGTTAGCCATATCAGACGTTGTTAAAGTCGACTCAGATCGGCAAGGCGCCAACAGAAATGCACAATCACATACACCATGGTGTTAATTGACCTTGATCAAGAAACTCATGTGAAAACACGGAGATGGCGATCATGCTAATGAGACAGGCTATTCAGGCGAAAACCTGCAGTGCTCATTTCGCTAAGAATTGACCAGAACACGTTGGACATTAATCTGCTTAAGAACTAGAAGACACAATGTGCTGTTGAGGAGCACCAAGTGCCTCTATGGCAACGTAAGAGTATTAAAGATTAAACTTGAAGAAATCAGAAACATGTGCTTTCAGCTGAATTTTAAGATTACAGTCCCCACTGAAACATGGCTATAACCCGACATAACGGACGAAGGGTTGAGCTTTTCAGGCTGGTAGATATCCCCCCTTATATCTATGGAAGAAGTCAAGGTAGTGGTCGAATAGGTTTTTTCACTTAGCGAAACAGAATAGGCGGACATCGAGGTTCTCTTTTTGAATTTTGATTTCAACATTCAACATGGAATAATTGGAAATATGATGATGCACAAAATAAGGGAGCAAGGATGTACTTGAGCTATACCGTGATGACATTACTAAGAGGTTTTCAGCCAACCTTCAACCAACTAATCGAAATTGCTATAAGCTTTCAAGACATGTCACTTTTCCGATTTTATAGGGTACTTAAAAAAGGAGGTGAAGTGACAATATATATTAATATTCAATTCAAATCTGTAACACCATACATTAATGAATTAATCGAAACAACAGATTTATGCTAATGTTGCTTCAGTGTGGACGGGCCAAAATATTTGATTGAAGAAATGTGTTGACCCCCCACAGGTCCGTACATCCAAAAAGATGTGATAATACAGGTGACTACACCTGGGTTATAATGAAATACTACTTCAACACTCTATCGCATGAGCGGCTTGCCACAGCATTAAAAGTTTAGAACACTTTAAACATGTGAGTGACGCTGCAAGATATACGAGGGACCGTAAACCCTCAAACTCAGATTATTTACCGATAAATGACCATATATTTTAAGTACGCCGGACCACCACAATGAGATCATACTACCAGAACATCATTACCATGATTCTCAAGAAAACCGTCGAAATACTCCACGTCAAAGAGCAAAGACCCCCTTTGGAATGCCCTCTCAGAGGAAGTGATCACAGCAGCCTCGGTGGATAGCCTTATGTTTTATTGTTTTCACATTTCAACCAACCCACCTTCAACCAGATAATGTGATGGCTGCAGATATCGAGGAACCCTGCTTCTTTGAAACAAATTTACTCATGTACAAGATATACTAACCCACAAATGACTACCAAACTGGCCAGAATTAATTTAGTTGGGTGGCTAGATAACATCTCACTAGACATAACAAATACCGTTTTGAAATGACAAGAAGCCAGTGCAAGGAGACACTGGAGAACACTCAACTCCGGTTCGTGATTTCGATAGTCAGAATAGAGGCGGAATGATTATGATAAACATTATACACCACTATCACATCTGCTTGATTCCTCATTCACTCCACAAGCTGTAGGTTTTTAAACCTCAGATTCCGGGAGCCGGTCACACTACAGAATCTCCTACGAACAGCTTTCTAATTTTGTCGCTTAAGAACACTAACGAAAGTGAAAAGCTAAGCAACTTCAGTCACTAGGTTCTTCACTTCCTTAAAGTGCCATTAATAAATTGACTAAGCCGGATTATACGATAAACAAGCGTACTAAACTAAGGTGTTGTGATTATTGTTTCCATCGAACAGATACGTTATTTAAGGTTGCTGACTATAGGTAATTAATCCTTTAAATTCAAGAAAGCATATTATAGGCTAATAAATAGTACCTAAAAAAGACGTAAAATACTATTTCAAAACGGAAGACTACGGTCCTTTGAGCGTCAATACACAAGGTAAAGTACAGCTATTAGGTCAAAACTTAGCATCAAACCTTTCTTCATTACTCACTGACGGTCTACTTCAAAACAACGACGACTATTATTCAGCTTTCCGTAAGTTCATAAGTTATTCCGGAATGTGAGGCATGTGTCCCATGTGATTCAGTACGACATGGTGAGTAAAAATTACAATCACAAAAAAAATTCACAGCATAACCTAATTTTTTGATACAAAAATTGTGATCTCACTGACTGTGTGAACACACACATGACCGTTATTCCGGTCTACGATAATCTTAGTTGACGCGACATCGTTGAGGAAATCACTACTTCAAAGAAAACTAACGGTTTACACTAGTTCATGACACAATATTGTATTGACCTTGAGATTTTAAGCGGCTTTAAACGTTTAAATATGTCAGGTTTGTTACTCTTCGCTTAGGACGTTTGCCCATATATTTGGTGTCTATCGCCACGAACAAAAAAACCGTAGGATTTTGAAGTTTACACGAAAATAAAACTTTGCACAGTAGTTCATCTTGTTGGAGCCAATGTTTTGCCACTGTACTAATTAATTGCCGCCATTCGTTTAATAATCTCAAGCAGCCAATAAATGGGAAATAAAAAAGACATTCTGTTAGAAGATAAAAAAAATGGCGGAAAAAGCCAAAGGGTTTTTTTTCGCTTGTTATGTTGAAGTATTATAAGGCCCCTCCCCTGTTCTTGTTTAAAATGTCTCTGAATTATCTACTTTTCACGTAGATTCACGACAAATTGCCCACTTTTCGTTAATATTCGCACATAATCGACACTTATATGTAACCGCCTTTATTTCTCACTCTGTCTCGCAATTTATGAGTGGAATTATTCGATTTTTGGCTGTGTTCAATTCAATCAGTCCCAGCTACCATTGCTGGGTCGCAGGTTGTAAATACTTTATCAAAAGGCACATTTCTTTGAGACTATTATCTGCGGATGATTTTCGGGCGACGCTCAGGTGACCTTGAGTGCCCACCTGAGGTAGAACCAAATGAGGGTTATAAACCAGTGAGAAATCAGAATTATGATTTACAGTTTGTGTTTAAGGTTTGGAATTAAACCTGGTGTTTTCATCACGAACTGACATCAACTCTAGTGCCAGGACTCTATTTAACCAAATTGGATAGTGGATTTTGCGCCCAGATCTGTTATCTTATATCTGATTGGTTCGTCCATAAATTATAATCTCGCTTGCAAACTCAGGCCTCACTTTATACTAGTCCAGCAAGTGTGATTGTCATATATGCCTCTGCATAAAGTAACTAAATGTTGTGTATAATGCCACGAATCAGTCACAGTTGCTACGGCTCACGTTACAGCGGAAGCAAACCAAAAGGTAGCGGTGCAGTATAATACTATTATCAGTAGTGAAATAGGAAAATCAAATCTTTTCAGCACAAACACTGGTTCTGTTCTATATTAGTTTCCATGATCATAGACAGTTCAGTTCATTAATTGTGTGTGGGCTGTGATACTGCCCGGGTGCCCAAACCGAAGCAGGTGGTTATCTTAGGGGGCCACACCTCGAGCCTTTGACTTAATGGTCTAATCCACAAGACAGTAGAGCATCGTGAAGAGATGCAGTCCCATGGTAGCCGGTGACCAACGATTGGTTCATACGCCATTTGTTCCCGCAGGATACTGGAGCCCATGTGCACCACTGATTTGGAATCCGGTTAAAGCGCCGGACATTCGCTTTTCGTCCTCTCATTTTCGTAAACAACAGTAATGCTACGAGAAGGCAGTGAGTAGGAATTCCCTGGCAGAGGCTGTATACGCGTGGCCGTGTGAGAGTATTTCGAGAGGGAGGGCTAACCCACCCCGCTCTCGGCCATACCAGTGTACAATTTGTCTCTAAATATTCAGTGGTTTTTATTTTGTCATGTTGCAGGATTTTCATTTGGGAAGCCACCAACCACTAGTGCTTTTGCATTCGGGTCGTCTCCTTTCGGAGCATCTGCTGGAACAAAACCAACATTTGGAGTTAGCACAACTACAACATCATTATTTTCTCCGGTTGTTTCATCGAATTCAAATACTGCTGTATGCAGCACTTCACTCCTTCAGAACCCTTCTTCTCTGTCCTTGACATCTACTGGATTCGGTACAGTCGCAACCACTTCAAATGCTTTTGGTTTGTCATCATTCGCTAGCTTAGCAAAGCCATCTACAACGGTATCTACTTTCGGTATTTCCACCATCAATGGTTTGGGAACAAACTCAAATGTCACATCAGCCTCACAATCTGCTCTCAGTCAGTCATCAGCTAATCCTTTACCTAACCTCTTAAAACCTGCTACTACGACTAGTAATGTTGGAAGTCCATTCGCTTTCGGACTTACTACCACTGTTACCACTCAAAGTGCAGTAACTCCTTCTCCAATCAGTTTTGGCACTTTTTCTTCGACGACTGTGTCTACTGGGGCTTCCACGGCCTCTATTGTAAATGTCAATGCAAGTCAGCCGGCCATACCTAGTAGTATTGGTTTTGGTGTATCTTCCGCTTCACTATCATCTTCAGCGTTAACATCAACAGCAGCAACAATAGCAGTGGCATCTTACAACTTTGGGAACCCTAGTCTCTCCACATTGGCTAAATCAACAGCGGCTTCTGGGTTCGGGACGTCATCATTGGGGATTGCAACTCGAACACTGGGTGAAACAGCGACGACTGCAGCAGCAATAACTACATCATTATGCGCTACCATCGCAACAGCAACTACTTCTGTTCCATCCGCCACTACCACATCTAGTGTATCCGTCACATCCTCTCAAACTCTTACTTACAACCAGTTAGAAGAATTGGTCAATAAATGGACTCTTGAGCTTGAGGAACAAGAAAGATATTTCTTCGATGAAGCAGATCGTATTAATCAATGGGATCAAACTTTGATTTGTAATGCAGAAAATATAACAGCTATGTACAAAAAGGTAGAAATGTGTCAATGTGAACAGAGTCGTCTTGAGCAGGTAAATGTTTTTCTTTTACTTATAATTTTGTTTTTCTTTCCTCAACATGTAGTCCTGCCTGACTGTGAACTAGACTTAAGGAAATCCGATGAGCCACCAAACCATGATTTAATACCAATCCATTAAGTCATTTAATGTTAAACTGAATCGTTTATGTGAGTTAGTCATCAACATAGATGTTCGTTGGACCAAGTCGCCTTACCACATTAGCTTAAAGAAATGAAAATGGCAAAATGAATAGCAAACAAATAAAAAAATATTATAATAATGATATTGGGAAAGATTAAGCATTAGGAATATCGCTTAAAAACATAGTCAAAGAGTATGTATGAAGGAATATTTAAAATTCAGGATCGGGAGTACAATAAACTGTGAATACATCTTCGTGTTTGCGAACAATTCTGAACCGTGTTGCCTGAAATCTTGAGGCATTGATCACAGTTTGTTGTCTTTGTAGTAAACAACTATTACACTTTAAACTATCTGTATATTGTATTTTCATATATTCCCTTTCGTCGTAAATCACGTCCGTATGTGATTTTGGAATTGACACTGATGTTTTTTTTCTTTGTTCAAATTCATAAAAGAAACTAATTGTGTAATATTTTCAGGGGAATTATTTATCGTTATACTCCGTAACACCAACTCATTCTCAACACTAGTATCACCTTTACTTACGTTTGTGAGGAAGCCATAGAAGATCGTCTCTTCTCAAACGCTTGTGTACAGTTACATTACGTGTTCATGAATGCATGGGATGTTTATACATCCAAATGAGCTTTAAAAACTCATCCGTGAAACTTCTGTATGTTCAAACTAAAACTGTATAAATAGTTATCAGTACGTAACAGATGTTTTTTATCGAATTAGTTTTAATTAAGGTTCAGTTTCCTGTAAAAACAGTAAATTAGACGACAGTCTACAGTCAAATATCGGCAAAAGCTGGTTCGTTTCAACAGCTTTGTCTCATTGATTGATTTCAGGTGTTGCTCCGAGGCACCAAAATAACCCGAATACAATTTGACTTTTGTTTTTTAAATGTAGCAAAATAAAGCAGAGAAATAGGTAAACGACATTTAATAATTATCATCAGTTTCTATCAAATATGTAGTTACATGATTAAAAGCTGATTTACTTGACCAGTAGGATATGTTTTCATGCATCTACCGTTGTGGTTTTGCAAATACCTGTCATTAAAATCAATGTGATGGTCCACTGCTTTGATTACCATAGTATACATCATCAATCGTCTACGTCTCTGATTCTGTTTCATTGGATGTAGAATATTAGGTTTTTAATCTCCCGGTTGGTTACATCATTACTACTTTTGCTGTAACGTAATGAGATAGAGCTGTGAAATATGTGTGCTCATAAAATACGGCTTTAATCATCAAACACAATCCAGCTTTGGCTAAAATGTAAAATTATTAATAAAGAGTACAAATTAGTATTCTTTTCTTAAGAAACATAGATTAACGATTTGTTGGAGGATAGGGTGTATACTACGTATGTCCAGCTAATATCAATTTCAGCGCGTATTATTAACAAGTGTATGAGTAGGTTGAAATAAATCTGTGAATAAGACAAACCAAGATGTGGGATCAGTCCATGCATTCATTTACTGTTGGACAGACTAGTAAGTAGGTTCAGACTTGGTTGGTTGCTGAGGATTATTATAACTAATAACTAAGATTAGAGACTTTGGATGGCATGGTTCAGAGTCAGTCCTAATTGATCACGTGCATTCACTCTATCTTCCCTTAAATTTTGAGTTTTAAAACTATTTTACGCCTTTTATTTTCCGGATTCATTTCTCCTTGTCGAATCATATTATCTATTCATAATTCTTTTCTGCTGACATCGACATTCTTGCTACTTTACTACTTTAGAATTAGCCTTGATAATTTCCTTTTACTGCGCTATGTTATGTCAACTTCTGGCAATACGCATAGGTGCCATATTCTTTACGTTACTTATGCCTGACTGACTAGTTGAAATCAGTCATAATTCAAGCGTAGACATCTTCAATGAAATACAGTTACACATATATGTTTATTTTACAAATTGATGTATGTGGTGGATCGTTATCGTTGTCGTTTTTTCCATTTTTTGTTTATTATAGGAATTAGATTTTATTGAGGGTCAACAACGTGAATTGGAAAGTTTACTAGAACCACTAGAACGTGCAGTGAATGAATTACCACCCGGTCAGTTACATTCGGATTATGAACGTGAAGCTATATTTCAATTGGCTACAAATGTCGACTTAGAATTAGGTCAACTATTGACTGATTTACGTGAAATAGCCGATCAAACAAACACCACTACAATGAATGTTACTACTGGTTTCAATTCATCGGATAGTAGTACAACTTCTACGAATACCACTAAGGAGAATACTATGATTAATGGTAATAATAAACTAACTTCGTCAAATAACGGGGATATTATGAATCAAATTACGCGTATTCTGAATTGTCATATGCACTCACTCAATTGGATTCATCATAACACACGTAAGTCTTCTAATGTTATAATCTGTAGTAATCATATTTATAAAAACCAGTGTTAAGTTACTTCTTACGCCTGTTACCCATAGTGGAGCATAGGCCGTCTATCAGGATTCTTCAACCAAGTCTGTCCGGGTCTCTCCTTTCCAGTTGTTGCCAATTGCTATTCATTCTTTTGATATCTGTCTCCGATTCCTAGTGTAGTGAGCCCTTTTGTTTGCCTCTTTTCCTTTTGTCGTCAGGATTCTAAGTTAGGGCTTGCCTTTTGCGTATTCTGGGTAAATAACCTTATTAATTCCTGTAACTTTTCTGGTGGTTGTGGTAGTGCTCCACATTTCAGTTTCCTACAATAAAACTATTTTGATGTTTGCATTGAAGATTCTGGCTTTGATGTTGCCTAACAGCTATTTTGAGTTCCGTATAATCTTAAATCCTAGGAATGCTGTTCTTGCTTATCCAATCCATACCTTCATATCTACATCAGCCCCTCCCTGTTTATCGATGATGCCTCCTAAATATGAGAAAGCTTCGACATCGTTCAGAGTTTCTTCGTTGAGTGTAGTTGAGTTGATGCTCTCTACGTTGTATTTTAGGATCTTGCGTTGAGGCCTACTGATACAGAGGTCACTGCTACATTAGCTGGCGTGACCGGCATTTGTTGATGTGTGTGAGATAGAAGAGCTAGGTCATCTGCAAATTCCACATCGTCTAGCTGCATGCAAGCTGTCCACTGTATTCCGTGCTTCCCCTGAGATTTTGTCTTTATAATCCAGTCGACCACCCAAAGAAAGAAAAAAGTAGAGAGTAAGCAACCTTGTCTGAAACCCGCCCTCACTTGGAATGTGTCTGCCAGTTGTCCTTTATGCATCACTTTGCACTGTAGTCTGTCGTATGAATTCCGTATGATGCCAACGTTCTTCTCATGTACACCATAGTGTCAATGAAGGTTACACGAAGTTCTCCTGTTTACACTGTCGAATGCTTTCTCATATTCAAGAAAGTTGATGTCTAGTGACGAATTCCATTCAGCTGATTGTTTAACGATGATCCGTAGTGTTGCGATTTGGTCTGTAAACGATTAATCCTCACGAAATCTACCCTGTTGATCTCGAAATCGAGTGTCTACTGAATCCTCGTTTGGTTCAACGGCACTGTTGGGAATGGTATTTCGGTGCTTCTATATTTTTCGTACTTGCTCATGTTTGCATGTTTGCAGGTACTTCTTTGTCTGACTTAAGTGCTTCAGTCGGTATATTGTCAGGTTCTGCTTCTTTCCTACTCTTGATTTGTCTGGCAGTCATCCTGACTTCTTCGGTCATTGGTGGGATGACATTTATAGGAATGTCTGTGCATGCTGTTTCGATGTCTTGTAGGTTCGGTGGGATTGGTCTTTTCAGGAATTCTTCAGAGTGCTTTACTCACCCGTTCCGCTGTTCTTGAGTCTCAAAAATTTCCTTGCTTTCTTTGTTGTTGACTAGTCGCTCTGGTTTGCTGTATTTCCCTCTAGTTTCTTCGTTGTACCTTATGATTGTCTCATATTCCTTTCTCTTACAGTTTTTTCTGCTGTCTTTTCTAGGTCTTCCACGAATTTATACTTTTCAGTCTTAATGCTCTTCTTCACTTATTTGTTTGCTTCAGTATATTCGGCTTGTGTCTTGATTTTCTGTGCTCTTGTTTGGCTGTTGTTAATTACTATTATGGTTACTTCGTCTACCTCAATATTCTAACCTTGATAGATGGCAGTAGAGAAGAAGGGATTCAAATAGATTAAACATAGAATACTTCAAGTGATGTTCATCATCAATTACTATAAAAACTGAAAATGCGCACAATATTGCGTTAATAAATAGTTAACGGTAAAACCGTACTAAGCGAACAGCCATTAGCGACCCATCAGAATTAAAATTACTCATGTTTTAAGTATTATCGCGAATTCAAAACGCTATTGTGGGTACCTTGTTGCTGGAAATCATGATTCTGACCATGTTTGTATTTTGAAAGAATCGGACAGTGATATTCTTATGAAATAAATTGTTGAGGTGAAAAGGTGGGGTCTAGCTGGGCTACGGTACTATAATTCGCATCCTAATTTTGCCATAGGTGCCCCTAACACATTCACTAATAGTGATAAAATTAATATCCCTCTGAGATTTTATTACTTTTTCTGTATTTTATAACTTGTCCACAAAAGTTACATTCTTAAAAATCCCTTTAAATCATCAATATACGATAGTTTTAACGGACTAACTCTCGTAAGATAGTTGCCAAATAACAACTCAATATACTTTCGCCTTAATATTCGCAGAAAAATAAGCAAGCTTTTTGAGTTCGTACTGAGATTTTTCCAGTCATGAAACCACCACTGGGGCTGACGAGACTATGGTTAAACTAAGCTGATACTGACCAGTCGTCAAACAACATTCTGTACAAAAATGGGAAGAGTCTCATCCAAAACATTTGTGTTTTTTTTAAATCGAGGTGTTCAAAGAACAGTCTTATGAGAGCGTCTTTCCCACACTGAACTATGTCATCTACGTACTCTAAATCAATAAATGAGTCTTTGAATAGGAGGTCAATTGTATTATGCCTGAAACATCGTTATAAACCCCAAATCGCAACATATGAATTAATCACATTCTCTAGCTATTCACTTAGAAATCCTTCTTTTACAAACTTTAATCATTTTTACCCAACCAAGTGCATTTGACGCTAACTGTACTATGAGTACTTAGTGAACTTGAGGTTTAAAACAAATTACTTTTTTTGTACAGATTTGTAAAACATACTTTTTGACTGATTAAGTGTATTATCACTAGAGCTCTTCTAGGCGGACTGTTTTTCTTAGTTTTCAAAGTTGAATTATTCGTCTCTAATGGAAAATAGTTATTTCAATTGGAAAGTCTTCTTATTGATTTGGTTTCAAAAATGCTAATTTTTAAATATGTAAGTTTGTTGAACTTCTATTTTGCTTATTAACAAAATAGATGATCTGAAGACCAATTTGTGTTTATTAAAAAGGACTAATATGAAATGAAGTATTAATGAAACCAATCACTTCTGTATAGATTTTAAACTTATTCACCGACTACGAGTGTACTTAATCAGGTTTGAGCAGCATCTTAATTGTGTATGTAATGATCAATAAAATATTAACTGGTTGTTCATACCGATTTAAATCATAAGCAAAGTTCAAAGATTTATTCTACCGGTTAAAAACCGATTGGAATTTAATTGCTAAGTGCGGTTAATACATCCTAGGGACAAACTACTCAATGAATTAACAACTAATGATATTAAGACTCATATGGTTAGTAGTAGGAACTAAGCCTGAAATTTCTGGATTTTTTCCCCTTATAAAATGTTTTGTAGCTGAATATGAAATTAACTTTCAACTTTTGTTTTTATTTCATATTTATATTTTCACAGAAGAAATAATGGATCGTTTAAAAGTGTTGAATGGTGTTTCATAACAAAGTGATTTCAGTTTAGATTATTCATTGTCAATAATAAATATGTATATGATTATGTTTTTTATTGTTATTTAAACAATAAAGACTATTTTGACATACTTATGTAATTTTTTTCTTTCTGTTTTACATTTATTTATAAAGTTATGCAAATATTTTTCAATATATATCTTTATCCACTGATTTGAGTTATAGAAAAATAGGAAACCATGCAAAGCAATCGGTATATATATATTACTTCCTTACGCCTGTTACTCCCAATAGAGCATAGGCCGCCGACCAGCATTCTCCAACCCACTCTGTCCTGGGCCTTCTTTTCTAGTTCCATCCAATTCTTGTTCATTTTTCTCATGTCTATTTCCATTTCCCGACGTAATGTGTTCTTTGGTCTTCCTCTTCTCCTTTGGCCTTGAGGATTCCATGTGAGGGCTTGTCTTGTGACGCAGTTGGGTGCTTTCCTCAATTTGTATCCTATCCACTTCCAGCGCTTCTTCCTGATTTCTACCTCCGCTGGGATCTGGTTTGTTCTTTCCCACAGTACGTTGTTGCTAATAGTGTCCGGCCAACGAATCTGAAGTATTTTACGTAGACAACTGTTAATAAACACCTGTATTTTCTGGATGATGACTTTCGTAGTTCTCCAGGTTTCTGCCCCATACAGTAGAACTGTCTCGACATTTGTATTGAAAATCCTGACCTTGGTGTTGGTTGACAGTTGCGTTGAGTTCCAGATGTCTTTCAGTTGTAAATATGCTGCTCTTGCTTTGCCGATCCGCGCCTTCACATCTGCATCAGATCCACCCTGTTAATCAATGATGCTGCCCAAGGTATATATATATATATATATATATATATATATATATATATGAATGCCTATATTGAGATAAACGTGTCTGGTAATTTTTACCGTAAATAAATATGTATATATTTTAAACAAAATTGAGTATTGAACAAGTGTTTCACTGTCTTATTCTGTGACTCCTTAGTGGCTTAGAAATTAACATAATGATTATAGTAACCATACATTGTGTAGATAAATGTTTAAAGTGTATTTGTCATTAATTGAATGAATCTCAGAGAGAAATGGTTGTGTATGCTTATTTATGAAATAAAACACAACACAATTAAAAATGTATAATGATGAATAGTCAGACCAAAACATGACACAAATCCATGAAGTCACTGACAAGTGAACTAAGCCATGTTGTTAGGTGTAGACTACCCGTTTTGGGACCACTAAATGATAACAACCGATGGTTAGAGACCCTGAATGACATGGCCCAAAATCGTTTGCAATAGCGCAGGTGCATACACTCTTTGTGTTTCTACCCAACCCTAATCTTCTGAATTCTTCATGTCCCTTTTTTCCTCTTTCCAAATTTATTTCACTGGATTATACTCCTTGAATACCATCTTCAAACCCTAATCTTTCGGATTACTGCTTATACTCTAACTACCTCTACCATTACGGGATTTGAGTCGACAACTGCATCTCTGTGCTAATGTGGTATGGCAACTCGAACTGATTCACGAACGTATGAAGTTCTACGTTGTTACTAACTAATTGACACAGGCTTATTTATCCCCTTTAACTGTGATACTACAACTATTGTGTAAAAACAATTAATTCTAGGAAGTTCAGATATTTGTAAATTGTTGAGTATAGATTAATTGTCAATTCAGTGGTTGATAGTTAAATATATTTGATTCATTAAATGCGTGCTTCTATTCCATGCGATTTTATGATAGTAACCTAACGGCAAATATATGGTCACATCTCATAATTGTTGGTCCTTTTTGGTCTAAAATTGCGTACTCTTGGCTTTTAAATGTAAAGTATAAATTAATAGTTTCATTCACATATGTCAGTTTCCTATATATGATGATTATGATTGAATATCTGTCAAAACGAACTTTTTGTAAGTAGTAAACTTGGTAGTAGTACAACGTTGGCATTTTAAAGAATTAGAATAGTTTGTCACTGTTTAGTGTATGAGAGAGCGTTCCGCAATCTGATATACTTTGGTACTTGGGATATAGTGTGTACTGTTATTACGTTCTACGACAAGTTATTAGATCTTTGATGGTGTATATACATATTCTTTGGCACTTTTAGGTAAACATAGTAGCATATTGTTTCTTGGGTTGATTATCACAACTTAAGGAAAGGTGCAAATCGTTTTGGAAATCCATTTTGTTCTGATTGGATATTTCTCAACAAATTTGATTTCCTGGACTTACTGTATCTTACATCCTTTCTATGCAGTTCCATATAAATTCGCGAACATTTTTTGAGACGGAACAGAAACACCATTTATTATTTATGCGGTTAAAAGACATTAATCTGAACCCGATTTGTCAACATAATTTGTCTTTCAGTGAGTTATGTTTCGATATGAATAGATAGTCCCATCACATTTTACTCCCAAAAATATTTGTCCAACTAAAACTTTGTGGTGTGCGCCTCTTATGTGGAGAGATATAAGTAATATGTAACAGCAATGACAAGTGGAATGCTTACATGCAGGAAGGAAAATGGGGAGCAATCGGTTTAACAACAGAATTTAAAGAATGATGAACTATGTAAAGAGTAACTGAATGAAGTTGTACCAAGGATATATTCATTGTATGATTTTCATATTTTGAAAAGGCACTGTGATTTTGCATAAAATAATGAATTGGTTTGCCGTACCTGAATCTTCGTTCACTACAGCTCCAATAGATCAGTGAATGGTTTCTCTATTCGCCCAATATTTTGAGCATCTATGAAATACGATATATAAAGAAGCATTTCTATGGAACTGCATTTCCAGTGATGTTTTCCAATTATTCATGTTTTCAGCCTGTAGTTATCCAAAAAATTTCTTTGGCTTGTCCTAGTCTCGTCAACATCCTTAGTGTTACTAAAAATCTATCATCGTGAATTAGGCAAACGTACTGATACATTTCTTTCTGTTCTGATTGTCTAATCCCTACGAATAAGATTTTTTATGGTAAAATATATCGTATGGTTAGATAACTCTCAGTTGTTTTTTTCTTGTGGAATAAATACCTACCAACATTCATGGATCAAAACAATTATGACTATAATTTGGCTAATCAAACCCGATCGATATTATTTTTTGCAAATCGATATTGACAATACGATCTGGTATAATGTTCCCTCAATTTTAAAAGAATTAAATTCCTTATCTACTTAACCATTGATGTTGATTCATGTTACTTATTGTGGGTAAAAATCTCATAGGAACCAACATTTATTTCAAGAATGAAGATAGATGCCTGTGGGATATTTATAAGTGCTTCAATGTATCACACACTTGTTATAAATAGGTGATCCGTATGAATAACACTCATGTAATGTAAAGTCCTTATGGTTCATAAACATTAGTCATATAAGTACATAAGTTCTGTTTTGAGATGATTAGTGTTAAGACATGAAAATTCTGTTAATAAGAGTATTACTGGGGAGTGCTGGTATTGTGAATCTCTTAATCGTAGTACATTTTTAACTGGTTCATGTGAGTTAATACTGTATGACTGTTGATTTCGCTACAAATAGAAATGTCGACCATAACAAACTGCTTCGTAAATGACATTATAACAGATTGGTAAATGACCTTCCACTCCTCTTTTCGCAGTTTATGTTTAAGTCGTTAAGAAACTGGTGGCCTGTTATCTTCAGTATTGCAATCAGTATGGAATGGTTAAAAAATGCAGTTTGTATCGAAAAATGTTAATGAGCAGTATTCTTAAAATTTAAGGTTTATTTGTTCTTTCGAGATGAAAGTTCACTTGATATTTGCTTCTTTGATGATAAAAACTATCTTTAATACATATCACGCCAATGACTCTCGTTTCAATAAATAATTAACGCGAATGAATAAGTATTCCCAGCTTTGATCAGTCATAGAGTTAGGTGTATATCTTAAAAATCATTCATTATGATTGCAACATTAAATAATTAGTTTACGTACTGTCGACGCGGTGAATTTGTTCAACTGTGGTTGTCAATAACTTCAATAAACGATGGGTACTGTCATTGTTGATTGTTTTATAAGAGGGAAATAGCTTCTCTGAGTACCTTCGAAAGCTGGCTACTTTACTTCATCTATCTGTGGGGAGGAGCTGGTTTTGTTCTAAATTCTACTTTATTTTCCCTTTTCTCCACTAACAGGGTGATGTCTTCTGAAGATGATGGTAGTTACAAGACATTAGGATTACCTACTCAACCATACTGTCGTATTCATTGTCATCAGTCAGCTGTACGTGCAGCACGTTTTAATGCAGATGGAAATTATTGTATGACAGCTGGTGGGGACAAAACGATAAAACTATGGAATCCTTATAATTTTCGTTTATTAAAGACTTATGCAGGGCATGGTGGGGAAGTTTCTGATGTCCAGGTGAGCTCTTATTACATAGATTTACTCCTTTTTTGTGCACACACAAATGAGGGTACTTTGGTAACTCAATAACCGTGCATAGGTTTTTCCACCGTATTTTGAGTCGCACCTACTGTAATTTCTGAATTCTAACAATTGAAACGTTAAACGAGCAATTTGTTTATCATCCTGTTTAAAAGACCGGTTATGCAAGTATGAAAAGCCACCAAAGCACTGATTTCTCGACTGGTACCAGTCTGGGACGAAATCCTAAATATTGCCTACTTTGGTCTGATCCAGATCGGAATATATTAATTAATCCATTTTCAGTCAATCAGAGCTGGGAGACGAATCGACCAAGCACTACGAGCTTTATATGTAAATTCTATATAAACTGGTGTTTTCCCTACTAGATTTCGCTTTTTGGTTTATCGTGATCTAAATCGCTCATTCTTAATTCTTGTTATGATGTAGTAAAATTCGATTGGATTCTTTTGCTTAGGTGTTTGACAGTAAAACGCAACGGTCGTTAACCAAAATATTTTTGAATCCAGTTGGTCTCCACAAGCAAATTATTACACTTTCTCCAAAATCACTTCATTATATTCACACATAAATTGCTGGATAGTAAATGAAACATTATACTTTTGATCTGTATTTCGTGACTACAGTCTATGGACTATCTCGCGTAATATGTGTCCACCAAGCTGAACAGGTTT